AGATACTAGATAATGGGCCTTGCGCATCTGATCATGGCGCCAAGAAATTCTGCGTGATGAAAAAGAGTGTCTATCATCTCCCGGACAAGCGTAGTCTGGCTGTTCTACGGAGTAGACTGTCCCTCTTTTCGAAAGTCGAAACGTCGTTCCCCCTCTTCTCTTTGCCCTTCCCCCCCCCTCCTCCCCCTCGTTCTGGGCGAACTAGTTGACTAAGGACGAGCCAAATAGGGAAAGGGGAAGAGAAAGACGACGTTGACAACACGTATGCGTGGCATACACAGCTCTCTACGGGGTAGTTACCTTAGAGTGTCCCTCGACTCTTGCTGGGTACGCACTGCACTGCGCAGTGACAAGCCACAGGCACATCTAGATATGATGCTAAGAATGCTTTAGCGCTCTAGCGTCCCTGCTATGGGTCAGATGAGGAGGGGGTCCGGACACCACTAGACTCCAAGCTACGACGACTAGCTGTGTCCGTCCCTCGCGACGAGGTATGTCATTGGCACGTGGGACCTCCCTGATGAGGAGAAGAAACTTTAGTGTCGATGGCTTTGTCGGAGGTAAAATAAGGGTAATCCAGGGGAAAGAGGGGTGAGGGGTTTGGCAATAATAACCATGATAGGTGAATGAAAGAAGGCAACAAGAAAACCAGACAGGAATAATTATTGGAAAATGAAAAAAAAAATTGAAAATAAGAATGGTAATCTGCAAGGGATGAAAGCCCACGTTGTTGAGAGGATCGCTGATTCCGTCTACAGTCAAGGGCCGGTACATACTCCGAGTACATACTAGGAGTACGGCATTGAGAACCCCCATACGGCATACATACGTATGCAGTTTGCTAGTGCTGTCTGCTGACTGGTTAATTCGGCATATCGGTGTATAAATTATTTTAATCGTGGCCATGCTTGTTGTCGCTTTGCTATTATTGGCATCAAGGGACACGAACTGCGTTTCGTGGCTGTTCGACAATAGATCCTATTTCTGGCGTCGGTGGGACGCCCTGGTCTTCCAGAAAATCGGGGGTTAAGCCTTTCCACGTTAGCTAGAAAAACATAGACGCATTGAATTCCTGACAGAAAAAGAAAGAACGAAAAGAGAAAGAAAAAAAAGTGTACGCACTAACTACTCCGTACGGAGCTTAGCTAGAGTATTCTACGGAAGGTCCACGAGTCCCCACCCCGCAAGGAAGAGAAAAGAAAAATCTCCATAGAAATTTAGGTGGACGCCGACGAAGATGTACGGAGTATGGTACGTTACAGAGTTCAATCGGACGTCCGATGACTTCAAATGCCCGAATCGCGATCAATAAATCCGAGATGACGGGCCAGGATACCAAAACGGGAATCGGAAATTTTTTTAACAGAGACCAAAAAATAATAAGAGAGTCACCCATGATAGGAATAATCCCGAATGCTCAGCACATCACCGACCCCATTTGTTAATGCAGGGTTCCTTAGCTTCGGAGAGCGAAATAGGTGTTTGTAGCGACAAGGCAACCTCGACAATGTGCACGCGAGCCAATGTGAGCATTGTTACCAGACAACTAATGCAGGATATGAGAACCACGGTTTCCATCGCACCGTGGCTAAAAGCTTGTCCGTAAGGCTCTTCTGGCCTCTGGGGTGACTCTGGTCAGGGGCCACTTTACCCGGTCAGGTAACGATGGGCATGGTCCATGATGAATGGCACGACCTTTGATATGATATCACTATCAGATCGTAGGTGTCAGATCCGTTGAGATGGTATCGCTCAGAGGGCGATCGGGTGTCATATCTGTATCTCTTGCATCAAGCACACCTTTGATATGACTCCTGTCCGTAACCCCAAATGCCCTTGGCCCTTGGCCGGCCCTCTTTAGAGCGTTGGCGTACGGGCGTATTCAGTAATCCGTAATGGCTGCGGAATGCGGATACGGGCAAATACCACCTCAGCTTCCGAGCGACCCAGACTTGTAATCGCATTACCGAAGAGAGTTTACACCGGTGCAGGAACTAAAAGTGACGAGAACATTGCTTTTTTCCTCGGAACCCTGGCACTGGTTATGCTCATTGCTAACGGGTCAGGATTCAGGGACCATCGGAATTATGGAGTAGGAGCAACCAATATCGGTCTCCAGCTCAGAGTACACAGTGTTGGTGAGGATTGGTATGGACTTTTGCCAAAAATCCATGATTATCATTGGCACTGTAGGCGAGATTGGTTGAGGGACTTTGGGCCTGAGAACAGAGACCTTTTAGTGTCGCTCTCTGCAGCATACTATCACAAACTAACTCTTAGTTACCCCATCTATTAATTATCTGGGAGAATTGTCCTGGCCAGTATGATTGTTCGATTCCGAGTGCCTTCTCTCCAACTGGAGAACATACGATTAAACCGATTTCATTCTGTCTCTATTTTTTATTTTTATCCTTTGGAATATTGTTTCTCATTCTCCTAGACATGTTGACGCATCACTCCGCTCCGATGTCTTTCTGCTGACGACAGGGAATACGTATCGGACAGGGAGCCAACCAGTACTAGTTAGCCCGGGTCTTGTTGGGACGGGAGGAGATGGCGGAGGGGCAGCAGTTTGGGCCCTGGAGGGCTGAACGGGGCTTGTCCTGTGGGAGGGACGGAGGGTTGGATACCGTGACGACGTTGACGTTATTGACAACGTTGACAACGACGGTTAGAATGATGATGATCGGGAATGAACAATAGGTAAACAAAATAGATAAAGATAAAAATCAATAAAAATATCAAGATTATCGCAATTCATTAAATAATGAATCTGGATAATTCTGGGAGGGCAAAGCCACCCTATCCGGGCTGGGTCCCGGTGGCTGTTCGAGGCGGATGCGAGGGCAAGTAAGGAACTCCCTGCCAATTGGGACTGGGTCGCCGATGATGCCACTAGTGCCAAAGGCTGGAGGTACTTCGGGTATACTTCCACATGTTATTAGAGTTGCCGTGAAGGTGAAGCCAACCAAGATTGCCTTCTGACTGGAGATTACGGAGTATGTTCTTTTTCTTTTTTTCTTTTCTCTTAAGGGTTTTTATTTTTACTGATCCCATGTTTTATATTTTGTTCTTATTTATTCTTTTCTGCTCCTTTGACAAATAAACTTTCGGCAAAGGAGAGAAAACAGTCAGCGTGTATTTTATTCGCTAGGAGATTATGTACCAGTATTTACCAAATATTTCCGTAGTATATCGTTTTCTTTTTCGTCTTCTTTTTTTCTTTTTTTTTATGTGATGATTATTTTTTTCTCTCTTGGGGTTGGCATCCGGCTGATGGTAATTCGTGAAAAAACCAGCGCCTAGGTCTACCCACCCGTACTTTAGATTTTTTTTTTTTTTTACTAGGACATGATGGGGAAAGACCAAAAAATGAAAATAAAATAAAAATCTCAAACAGAACTCTGGGCAGACCCTTGGCCGTGAATTCGGGGAGGGGGGAACAATTTCCTCACTCCGTCAGCCATCAAACCATCAACCAAGGATTGAACGTTTCTTCTCCAAATGAAGATGCCTGCTCCCAGGCTCCACACCCGAACTAAAGTCGCTCGTCGACACCCTCCTCGAACTAAGTGTGCCACTAGTCCGCTCCCTTAACCCACCCTGCTCGACTAGACTAAACGGACGGACTGACTGACGGACTGGACGGCCTCGACGGCGAAAGACTGACTGACTTGACGGACTTCCCAGATGGCCAGAGCTTCGGGAGAGACCCTGGACCAGTTTCAAGATGCTTGGTCTGCTTCTCTGCTCTTCTTATTCTTCCTTTTTTTTATTTCCTCGCCCTCCCCCTTCCCATTGGCATTCTTCTCGTCCGTAATCCCGCATTTTCTTCGCTTCTCATTCTCTTCTTCAATTCTCTCCGTTCCCTACTATTCCCCTCTGGCACAAGACCGTTACGCTCTCGTCTGCCTCGTTTACACCATTGTCATCCTCTCCTGCACCATTCGATCTTTTCGACCTACTTCTCTATCAATTTATCGATATCCACCTGCTTATCTCCGTATCTCCTCTCCCATCATCCCTCCTCATTGCCGCTTGACCGGTATCCTCTGATTCTATCCGTTTACATCCATTTCTCCTTCCCTTTTCTTCTTATTATTGGACATTTGATTTACGTCTGGATTTTGTGATTCCCATCGTCTGTTTATTTTCGGATTCGTCGTTATCATTTTCATCTTCTTTCATTCTTGGCCCCCGCACTTCTCTGGAAGACTGTTGCTGGTGCCTGCGATTTTCGCCTCTGGATTATTATTATCGTTATTTTTATTTTCTTCCTGGGCTACCCCCCTCAACCCGCATTTCATCTAAACTCTGCACGTCTTCCGGACCGGTTTGCAACCCTTCTCAAGCATCACTTTCCTATCCGCCTGCCCGCAGCAACTAGTGGGCGCCAAAGAAGAGAAAGCACCCACCCCCCTTGCGACATCATTGTCTTACCCGTCGATTGGCGTGGGATCAGCTTTGAGTTCGGTTTGATCCAGAACGTGGGAGATCTTGTCGGGATTCTATCCGGTTCGACATCGAAAGGTTAGGCAAGGACGCCTCGAGTTATCCGGCGGGTTGCTGTCAGATCTGCGCCTGGGTGCCTATCGACAGATCGGGTGCGCGTTACACGAACAAGAAAGGACAAACATCCTCGACGACAGCTGGTGCGTACTTTCGGCTTCCCTCGTTCTGAAAATTTTCGGCTTTTTTGCTTTTTTACCCTTTCTTCCTTCCTTCCCCCTCCTATCTCTGGGCTTTCTTCCTCTATCTTGGGTGCCTTGAGACAACTGCGATCTTCTTCTTGACGGAGCGTGATCTTTTCAGGAGAGCGATACGCAGGAAAATCAAAGCAACAAAAGTGTGAGAAGAAAAAGCAAAAAGAGACGGAAGGAGGGACAGGAACTGAAAGAAAGAAGGCAGAAAGAACACCAAAAAGTCCGCGAAGCAAGGCAACCTAGCTAACCCGTTCGGCAGTTTTTCATTTATATTACCAGACATCAGTGGTGTAGGAAATGGCGAGCTGCAAAGGAAGCTTTGTGTCGATCCTAAACAATGATGACAATCCGTCATTCGCCGTTCGATCGGCTCCGAGGATAATAAGGCACCAGTCTTCTCCTACATACCCCTATCCATCTGAACAACCCCGTCAGGCCGTGGGCCTAGACTATCGCTATGGAAGCTCCTATTCCGGTTCCCCGGCAGTATCACCGCGGGTAACGAGGCAACAATTCGATCCCGTGTCCGAAGCGACGCAACCGACATCCCCCGGATCCTCGGATTGCTCCTATGATTACACAACGAGTGCCAGCACCGGGTCATACTTCCAACAAAGTCGTCAAGAATATCACGGCTATTCTTCAACGATGCCTGCTCCGGAGAAGCGGCTCAGCGCTAATTCTATGGTTGATCCTCCGTCTCCGCCGACGTCGATCGGTGGATCCAAAGATACGACGGCCGCCCGGGGAACGCGGAAGAATAAGTATCCCTGCCCTTTCGCTGCGAGTCACGGCTGCTCCGCTACCTTTACGACGTCGGGTCATGCGGCTCGCCATGGCAAAAAGCATACGGGAGAGAAGAGTGTACACTGTCCGATCTGTAACAAGGCTTTCACGCGGAAGGACAACATGAAACAGCACATCCGGACACACCGGACACATTCGGAGGATATGCCCACGGGTATGATCGAACGGGAAAGCGAAGGGAGCACAGGGTGGAGAAGTAGGAGGAACAGTCCTACCTACAGCCACCAGCGATCGGCGAGCCAGTCCCAGATGGATGGGAACGCTTATGAGAGCATGACGACCATGAATTCTATGACCTCCAGTGGCACCCACCGCTCGCAGCCTTATTGAACGATGCAACGCAGTCAATAAGTTTTGACGTGGGGCAAACCTGTGTGAAAAGGCCCATGCCCTTAAGTCCCAGAACGGGACGGGCACCGGGCGTTTTACCAAAAATGAGATATATTACGGCCCTTTTCTCCCGTTTTTTCTTTTGACCACGACCATCATGGTGTCGGTCTATTACTTGCGACTTGATTTGACTAGCAGGCGAATTTGGCGTTCAAAGAGAGGGAATGAAAAAGATAAAGCGCCCCGAAGAACAACCCAGGGTGACTACGCAACTACGCTCAGCCCTCCTTTCTTCGTGATTCTGTCGTCCCGACTGTCTGAAAATGACAGATATGATCCAGACCGAACCAGGTGATGCAAAATGAATCAGCTCCAGATTGACAGACTGGATAGCAGGACTTGAGTCGTATCATTTATGCACAGCAACTCTTTGAGAAGAATGTTTGATATGTGGTAAAGCTTTTGGTGGGCTTTTTTTTTATGTTTGAGTATGTTCTTGGATACCGCTTTATTATACCTGTCTGTTACTCTTGGACCTGTCGGCGTCTTTTGTTTGATTTTTGGTTCTTTGTGTGTCCTATGAACCATCTGGATTGGGCCACCAGAGAATGGCCAGAGAGCCAGCTGCCATGTATTGTATACTAGCCAGTACTTACCCTATGGAAGACGGTAGATTTGAGAAGACCAGCTATATGCCGGGTCAATACAACATGAGATATACAAGGATGATGGTGTCATGAGCGATTTGGCACATTTGATCGGCGTAGGATTTCATGTAGGCGACTTCATCGTAGGGAGGGGAGAGGGTCCTCTGGAACCATGGAACGAGCGTGTCCAATCCGGGGAAGCCACACCGACCCGAGGACCTGACAGGGCGGGATCAGGAACGGTGACGGGCCCATGGTCGAATATGATTTAACGACTTAACGTTGAGATAGCCTTGATCAGGCATGGCCGATCGATGGCAGCGAGGTGCAAACGCAGACCAGACCGACTTGACGATGCCGGATGATGTCAACGGCGTTTAGTCATCGGCAGAGGCTTTGAGTGTCTCTTTTCTGGGGACGAGGCCCAGCGCCGTCTGAAACATCTACGGGCGTTGGGCAGAGACGGGGTCGTAATTCAACTTTGAATGGGAGAAAAAAGATGATAAAAAAATAAATAAATCAAAATCAAAATAAACAGAAACATGTAATAATAAGAAACCAAATCCACCATAACAGACTGCAACCACCAGATTGGCCCTACGTCACTGACAAGCCCCGCCTTCTCGCCACGTCCCGTGCCTGGCTGGATTGGGCCATCGTCTCAAGTCTCTCTCTTCTTTTATTATCCTTCTCCTCTTTCTTTCTTTCTCTCCATCTTCCTTCTTTCTTGTCCATCTCATCCAATTCCACCCATTCCCCTTGCATCCCCATGACTTTGCCCCCCATCTTCACCATCTCTTCCCCTCCATCTTAGCGTACCAGCCACCCCCACAATGGCCTACTATGAGGAGCGCCATTATCGACGCCCTCGCGATCGGCACGCCCGCCCGGGTGCCGGCTACGCAAAAGAGTATTACGAGGACCCCTACGGTGGTCGAGCGCATGAAGCCAGTGTTATGCGCCGACGCAACAGGAGCGATGATTCCATCGAGGAAGTCTCCTCTGATTACCCCAAGGGTGACTATGGCTACGAATATGGGTACGGCCTACCGCCACCCCGCCACTCTCGTGTATCTTCCGTCCACGAGGAGACGCGCAGATCCGGTGGTCGAGACCCGTATTATGAGGACTCGGACTATTCCCGCTCGCGCCATAGTCGGCGATCGAAGCACCACGATGATCGACGTAAGTCCTTCTTAGTTTTGCACGTCTACTTGTCCCGTCCGGGTCCATCTTCCACTCGCACGGGTTATCGTAACCTCAGGAAGAGTCGAGGGTCGAGACACGATCTTCTTTCTCTTTGAGCAGACGTTGACCTATCCTAGGACACCGCCATAGGTATTCTCGTTCCCCCTCAAGCAGCCGCTCTCCATCGCCCCCAAGGCGTCGCAAATCTTTCTCGGAGCAGGCATTAGGCGCCCTGGGTCTTGGCGCTGCCGCTTCTTCGACCTCCTCGAGGCATCGGGACCACAGCCGTGGCCGCTCTCATCGCCATAGGGCTTCTTCCTACTCCCCTTCTCCGACTCGAAGCAGGAGTCGTCCCCGTCGGGACAAGAGCGAGCAGCGGGTCGCCCAAGCTGTCAAAGCGGCCGTGACAGCAGGCGCAGTGGAAGCCTTCCGATCACGAAAGGACCCCGGCGACTGGACCGGTGCCAAAGGCAAACGGATTCTTACCGCCGCCATCACCGCCGGAGGAACCGACGGATTGGTCGACCGCGATCCGAACAAACATTCGAAGCGCCATGTCATCGAGTCCACTCTGGCCGGCCTGGCCGCGAACCACCTCATGAATGGATCCCACTCTCGGTCCCGGTCGAGGCACCGAGGAAGCTCCAAGAGCCGGGGCGGATTCGGGGATCTGGCCGCCACGGGGGCTTTGGCAGCGGCCGGCAAGGAAGCATACGACCGGTTCCGGTCCAAGTCTCGCCACCGAGGTCGATCCTCTTCGAGGGACAGCTACGACGAATACCCGCGTCGGGAGAAAAGGCGCAGCAAGAGCGTAACCGATTATATCAGAAGCGGACTCGGAGCCCTCGGCCTTGATGATAAGAAAAGTTCCGACGACCGAAGGGACTCCCACCGCCGCAGTCGTCCTTCCCGTTACTCAGAGTACTCGGATGACGACGACTACGACAGCAGCCACAGATCCCGACGTTACGTGTCACCTAGGCGTTCCAGGACCTCCAGGGATCCCAGAGATGTAGATGTAGGTCGATCCTCTTACCCCAGCGACATGCAAAGGCCTCGTGCTGCGTCGACCACCGCCATGACTGGACCCCAAGGCTACGGTGGTCACCAGCATTATCAAAATCGGCACGACGAGAATTGCAAGGCAGAAGGACACGATTCTGACCCTGGAAACAGTACCGATGAGGAGAAGCAGAAGAAGAAACTCACCCGCCAGACGCTCATCGCTACCGGTCTGGCTACCGTTGCCTCGATCCACGCAGCCCACTCCGTCCACAGCAGCATGGAGCAGCATCACAAGCGAATGGAGATGGTCAAGGACGGTGAAATGTCGCCCGAGGAGGCTCGCAGACGACGAATCAAGGGCAACGTCGTCGATGCCGCCAGTATCGGTCTCGCGGCCATGGGAATCAACGGCGCCCTGGGGGAGTGGCAGCATGTCAACGAGAAACGCAAGGAGCGCACCACTTTTACGAGGAGTTGCATGGAAAAACGAAACCAACGCCAACGCCGAGTACAGAGTCAGGGTCCATCGTCTAGGTCCTCGCGCGACAATTATCGTCTCCCGGATGAGATCGAAGAGTACCCGAACGAAGCGGCTCGCTCGCGATCGGTGGTTCATGAGCAACCCCGTTATGCTTGATTTTGATTTGATACGATATCTACTTGAACCGAATTCAATCTTGGTTTCTGCGATAACATCTCGACTTTTTTTTTTTTTTTTGATATCGATTGTTTTTATGACTGAATGAAACCCCCTGCATCGAAACTTCTCGGCAGAGCGAAAATTCTATTTCGGAACTGAATTTGAATTGCATTGCTTTATGATGTTTTCCCCTTTGATGATACCATGGCGGGGAAAGCGATTGATTTCACGCAATTTATTGATTGATTGCATCAGTTGAAGCGCAAGCAAGCAAGCAAGCCCAACACAGACTGTTTTCTGTTATGATATTGTGACATTTTGTTCATATTTTTTGAATGTCGGATTGATGATATGACCCCCCTTCATTTTTTGTTTTACTTGCCCCTGCCCCAATCTAGCTAGATGGCTAGCTAGGGTTTCTCGCGCTCTTCCTATCTAGCTTACCTACGTGCGTAGGTAAGCTTCCTGTATGATTAATTCCTGTATACGTGTGGAATTACTCGTTCATTCGTTTTTATTTCACAAATCAATGGATCTATTTCTCTCTCTACCTTTCTCTATCTCTGTCCCTGTCTTTGATATGTCCCTGATATGATATGCTATGCTATGTTATGCTGGGCCGTGTTATGTTAGGCCGGGCTAGTCAAATTGAGTAAGATTCAAGAACTCATTCCTAGGGATCTAGATCGACCCCATCCATCAATGTACAATACGTATCTATCTCGTCTAACGAGAACGCGCTCAAAATGCGCGTCTTAGATTAAACATGTTAGTTAGTTATACTCCGTCCTTACCAAGTAGTTACGTTTAGTTAAGGTAACTAACCAGTATGAACTACAAGAATACCAAACCCTTACCTTCCTACAGAAATCAATTAGGAGAAAGAATTGAAATAAGCTATCATCCATTCAATTGAAGATGTGCAAGATCAAGAGAGATACAACAAACAAATAATCAAACAATCAAGCAACCATGCCAAGAAAGGTTATAGCATGCAGGGAATACCAAGGAGGTGGGTGGCCACCAAAGAACAAAAACGAGGAAATCAAAACAAACCAACAGATCTATGTACAATGCATACAATAGAAAGGAAGTAGGAGGATGAAAAACGAGGAGAGAAAAGCAACACCGATCCGATCCCTAAGAACCCAACCCCTCCCAACAGGCACTGACACTGACAGACAGACGGACACAACTAAACAAGAACAGCACGAAGGCTAGAATTCAATCAATCAATCATGGAACACGAACAAGAAAATGCTGGAGAAAAAGAGAACTAGACGGAATGGAACGCTTCAACGCTCGACTCTGGCCAGTGAAGGAGGGAGAGAGAGGATGGTTAATATGTCGTAGATGGGAAACAGGGGGGGGAGAAAGAGAAGGAAAGGAAATTGCGGCTAGCTAAGCTGTACATCGATCCATCCCAAGATGAAGACGCGTAGAGAACAACAAAAATTAATCTTTTTACAGGTGACCTGATTTGTTTTGCAACCCTGCTGGAACCCGTGCTTGGAGCGAAAGAGTGGATTATATTAAAACTGGGCGGGATATCACGAAACACGAAAAAAAAGGAGAGACAGCGACGGTGGGTGGCTTTTGGTTGTTTTGTTCAAGGAAAGTGAGCGAATGAAGCGGTGCACCCCGAGCGATGTCAGCGTTCGGCATGCAAGTTGAGCCAACTCATATCGGAATTGATGTTGTTACGGTTTGAGTTTGATGGCATGGGTTCGTAGGTGTCGGGAATCAGAATGCTGGATCCGCGCGTGTTGGTGTTGGTGGGCGGCATCGACGGCAGATCGCGCGAGCTCGGGTTATACATGCTAGGATTGTACATGCTCCGGCTGTACGTGCTGCTGGGAGGACGGCCCATCCAGCTCTGTTGGTGCATGCCGTTCGACAGTCCGTCCCGGCGCTCCCACTCGTCATCGGACATGTTGCTGATGGAGCTGGCACTGGAGATGCGAGCGGATTGACTTTCGGGAATGTTGATGTACCGGCCGTCCTTGGGCGACGACGTATGTTCGGTGGTCGGGCTCCCCGTCACCACTCGGCCCAGGGGCTTGGGTTCTTCCAGTAGACCTATATTCAGCGGCGTGAGAGTCGATCCCGGCCATTGACTCACTTGGCTGGAACGGTCTTCGGCCCGGGCAAACGCCGGCTTCGGAGGCTGCTGCTCGTTAAAGAAAGTGCGGTTCACCGGTGTCAGGGTCGATCCGGGCCACTGGCTGACCTGGCTCGCGCGATCCTCGGCGCGGGCAAAGGCCGGCTTGGGCGGCTGCTGCTCCTCCACAGCCACCCGGCTCACCGGCTCGAGGGTCGACCCGGGCCATTGACTGACTTGACTCGCGCGATCCTCGGCGCGGGCAAAGGCCGGCTTGGGCGGCGCTTGGGCCAGGTCCGTTGCGCTGTGGTCCTGGAAGTACCGACCCCAGCCTTCATCGGTGTGGCGATCGCCCGGATGATTGGCCGGAGAGATGCCGTGGGCTTCGATGGCCTTGTCCGTCATGGGCGTGCCGACGGCCGTGACTTCGGACTGCATGGACAACGGACTCGGCTTCAGAGGCGACGGTTTCGGAGCGTTGCCGCGAGCGGCGCCCAGGGCTCCGGACGATTTTTCGTCGCCGGCAGCGCCGCCAAAGATGGCCAGGGAATCGACCGAGGAAGCGGCCAGCGGAGCGGGACTCTTGGCCATCGGATACGCAGACTGGGTGAGAGGCTCGACGCCGCGGTCTTGAAAGCTCAGACGATCCTTGTCGCCGTTCCGGCCCTGCGCGGCCCGCTTCAAGGCGTTCTTCTTACGTTTGATCAGGAAGATGATCAGCAACAGGATGGCCGCCACACCCAGAATACTTCCCAGGGTGGCGCCCAGAACGGTGCCGACGTTGGAGTTGTCCGTTCCGGAGCCCGCTGCAGGGGTCGTGGTGGCGGGACTGGTTTCCGAGGCCGTCGAGGTGGGACCAGACGTGGTGGTGGAGGTGGAGGATGTGGTGGGGAGAATCTTCTGTCGAGGCTCGTCGCCGTAGAACAACTTGGTGGCATTGACCCAGCTGTTGGACGTCTGGTTGAAGATGGCCAACGTGTCGGTGCCGCTGCCGCTGGAGATGACGACCTGGTTGTCGCCCTGAGCGATGGAGAAATCGTCCCGCTTCGTGGAGGAGGCCAGGGCGTCGTCATACTTGGGGTAGTCGTCGAGCGTGATGCGCTTCCGTCGGCTTGATTTCGCGCTGGAGCTGGCGGACTTCCCGCCGGACTTTAGCAGGGTTTCACTGGTCACGGTGTTGGGCGAGCTTCCCATGTCGAATGTTTCGAGTATTCTGCTGCCGTCCGTTCCCTTCACCAGAGCGCATCGCGCGTCGTCGGACAATTCCTTGTCGATCGTCACGTCGGAGCTACGCCAACCCTTGGCGGGATCGAACAAGTAAACCTGTTTCTTGTCCGTCAGACCGCCCACCAACGCCGCCTCCTTGTCGTTCCACGACAGCAACACGGGATAGAAGACCGGCGAAGCCTTGGAGGCTTCGAAAGCCGAGATGTTGTAGGGGTCCGCGGTGTTAATGACAAAGGTATCGGAGGAAGCGTCGGATTGTTGCTTCTGGTGACCGCCGTACACGAGAATGGAGGCGGAATCTTTGAGGTAGACGGCGTTGTGGTCGGTTCGGTTGTTCATGTTCTCCTGGGACGGTTCGAAGGATTTCCACTTCTTATCTTTGAAGGAGTAGCGTTGCACGCCGGGACCTTTCCCCTTGGACTCGGACGGGGTTCCTCCGACTACGTAGAGCGCTTGTTGGCTCTCGTCGCCGTCGACGCCACCGGTGACGCAGGCGGCATTGGAGACCGGTTCTCCCATGTGGAGTTTCGACCACGTTCCGTTGCGTTGGAGCGGGATGGAGGCGAAGCCATTGGCGGAGTAGGTGTACAGCGTGTTGTCGTAGATCACGGAACAGTGGCCCTCCAACTTTACGGGGGGCTTGGGAACAATCATGTCGAATGATGAGTGAAGAGGGTGAGGAGGGAAGGAGGGGAGGGAGAGGGAGAGGTAGATTCTTCGAGAATACCAGCCGAAGACAATCAGTCGAGAAAACCAGCCGCCGGGCGATTATAGGACGGACGGAGGGGTGCGAAACGAATGGAAGGGTTGTGACTGCCAGAGTACTATCTCATGGTCGAGGGGAGTCAACGGATCGTCGGTGGCACTGGGCCGTGAGGAAGGAATTCGGAGACGAGCTGGAAGATGACTGGCAGATCTTCCCCTTCGGGTGATTCCGACGTAAGTGTTTTTGATTCTGGATCTTGAACGAGCCTCTGAGGAAACGAGTGGTCGACAGGCGTCAAGGATCCTCGGTGATAAGTGATTGACGGGGTCGTGACGAAGCAATTGAAACACCACGGGGCTTGTCCGGAGAATTTTTGGCTAATGGAAAAGAATGGCGACCTGGCAGCGTGGGCGTTAGGCACGGAAGGTAAGAATTGAAGAGAATTGAAGAGAAAGAGAAGCTCGATGTCAAATCGGCAGCAAAGGAGGGAAGCGAGAGAGAGCGACACGTCCGGACGAATGACGGTACCGTCCAAGGGGAGAGGGGAGGAAGAAAGAGGAATGGGATAGGCAGAATTCCGCAGGACCGCAGGAGGGAGGGAGAGGGCGAGAGAGGGCGAGAAGGGAAAGGGAGGGGGGAAAGGCAGAGACGGGGGGAGGTAGCGTCAGGAGAGTCCCGATGGTGGATGAAACGACGGACGGCAGCTTAGACCAACACTAAGGGCCACTCACCCTGTTTTTCGAAGACGGCGGACAAACAGGTAGGACGCGACAGGAAGCCGAATCCGAGAACCGGCACGAGGTGACGAGAGTGCACAGCACGTTGTGACCAATGGACCGGGAAAAGGAAAGGAAGGGGAAAAAAGAAAAGAGAGGGAGGGGAGGGGAGGGGAGGTGGAGAGAAAGAGAGAGAGAGAGGGAATGAAGGGAAATTGAGGACAGGACAGGGAACGGAAAGGAGAACGTGAGAGTCGGTCGGAGCTGTCGCCCACTTCGGTTTAGTCTGCCGGGTGGCCTGGTTTTTCAGGTCGAACCATCGCTGACTGCGACCGTTGGATTTGGTCGGATCGGTATACTTACTTAGTATTCAGTATTCAGTGTTATTCTAGGAACTGAGTACTGATACAAGTCAATGATGTTCTTCCTGGACAGACCCGATCATAACATCATAAGTCGGTTTGTTTGTTGTGAAGCCCAGCTCCTTACTGGGAACCGGCAAGGAGGACTGGGAGGACTGACAGTTCCACGGATCGGCTTCTTCACCCCCAAACTTTCCGGCCCCTCTCGCGATGCTACCCAGACTTTGCTTTTTGTGAGAAGTATGTACATCCTCAGTATCTGTTCGTCAGATTCTCACTCGTCTGACTACACTACTCTCCCACTTATCTCACCACTCCGAGTGTATACTCTACTATACCCTTCTACTCCGTATGCTCTACAGAAGGAAACATCGACAGGGGCAAATCTCTTAACGCAGCCCCGTGGACTAGGATTGGTTCGCTCGTCAGGAACGCGCATGGAGCTGCAGGGATGCCATGCAGGTCCTGGACCTACCGGTCGAAGTATCAGATGATGTACTCAGTAGGTAGAGGGCCTTCATTCATATCAAACATTCGATTCCCTTCAATCTATCTCGCCATTTATCGACGACTGGCATCGACTCCATTTAACTAGTATGAAACCCGTAGAGGACGGAGTATAGATTCCAGATAAAAATAGTAAGAAGCAGACCCTCTTAAAGATCCATGGATACCACCCATTACCGTACCATACCAACGGCCCCGCCCCTCCCGCCGGGATCTTAACTGTGTTTCCGGGTCTGATTGGTTCGCAGATTGAAACACAGACCCCCGTCGGTATTCGGATACCGGTATCGTCACACTCTCCTCTCCACTGAGCGAGTTTGATGGAGATTGTGTCTTACTGTTGATCATGGATAGTTAGAAGACATTCTGCATTCTGATTTATCATCTTGAAAAGGTTCTTGTGTCACCATCCTGTCCAGCCCCCGTGAGATCAAGCAGATTTTTCCTCTTCCCCTCCGCTGACGGGCCGGGCCTCTGTTGGAACCTGGACGCTCACATTGGACGAACCTGCCTGCCTAAGTAGCCTAGCTCGTAGCTCTGGGGCCGCTTCTGTGCCACTACGTCGAGGCCTCTTGCCTTTTGCCTCCCCGGACACGGAACCCATTCTCATCTTCTTCTAATCTCTATATATATCCCACCCCGGCCCCAAGATTCTGGAGTGGTTGGTCCCTGCCGACCTGATCTATCGTTATCGCGGATAACTTCCTCAGCGGTTATCCTATAACTCTTCTGTAGACATTTTATAATCATCCACTCGTCCTCTGTATGCACAGTAGGGATCCCTGCCCAGCACGGTGGCGGCCGAATGTTCTGGAATCGACAACGCTAGCTAGCTGGTAGTGTCCTCTAGTTCCTGTCTGTCTCTGACCATTTGATTTTGGTCGGTTGGGTTTCCTTCTCGCCTCGCACGGAGTACAGATTGTGCGACTCATCTGGGAGGAGTTTTCAACTTACTCGGTCTCATCCTCTTCGTCAGGTCAAGGATGATCATTGATCACCTAGACAGCCCATCCTTAATCACCCAGGTCTTCGATTCCAGACCCAACGGCGGAGTCCTTCTGAAGCACCCCCAATACACTAACCCTCGTCGTGTCTCATCCGATCATCGGTTCGGAGTAAATCATACTAACCAATACTAACCCTAATCCTAATATAATCACCCAACGCTAGTTATCGGTGGCTGAGCTCCGTTTCCCGGCTAAATGGCCCCTCGCTCGGCCACCTGAATTACTGAGTGACGGTCCCAGGGTCCTAGGACATGCATGTATGCAGTCAGAGTGGATTCCACACGAGGCTGATTCGAACTGTTGGATTTCGACATCTTGATTAGATCGGTTTGATAGATTTTTCTTCGCTTGCGTTCGAGTTCGAGTTCTCCGGATGGGGTCCTGTAAGTAGTGTACTGTCGGCCGTCGGGTACCTATCGCTCAGTTAAGGGTTTTAATATCTGGGATGGATACAGTGACGTGATACTTAATTTAACCGAGATCGGTGGCCTCCGGGGTCGCATCCTGAGAGTCGCCCTTTGTGTGGCTCTCATTTCGTTTGTCTGGAGACTAACTACCGTGCAAGCTGTCGGTCTTTTCAGCCGGATTCTGAATGCGAGCCGATTTTGTGGTTTTATGCAAGAGTACGGAGTATGTACTGGACTCTGGTCTGCTTGGGAGATTCTTTCGTGTATCACTAGGAATCAGATTGGCCCAATGAGACATCGTAGATTAACAATCACCTCTGCGAGGTATGGAGTACAGGGTTTGTATATACCCTCTCTAAGATAAACCACCACTTTGCATGGTCTCATGATGTTCAAATCCTATTCCCTTGTCTGAGGCACATATAGCTGTGAACTAAGGAGTCTGCTGTGTGTTTACCTGACCCTCTAACGCGGTGTCCAGAAAGAGCCGCTCTCCTTCCGATGTACTGTAATATCTGTCTCAGATTAATTTACTTTTTCAAATTCGAATGATAAATTCTACTGTCCCGATCAGTGCTTACGTTGTCCGCGGCGTCCGAGACGCACAATTGATACATACATATAGCTGGTACCTACAGTGATGAAAATCTATTTTGGCTTGCCAGATAGGATATTATATAGAGTAGTTAGCTAAAATGGCACTATCTTGTCTAACGATCTAATTAACATAAACCGTCTGTCTAGTTGCGAAGGGAGAGAAACTAACATATGTTTCCTATTAACTACATATGTCCGAAAAACAGCTACATATACTCTGGAGAGTGCTGCTACCCAACCACATAAGCCAGCAACAAATCTTTACGATCGAACAGGACTGAATAAAGACACCATGATGTATACTATAAGTAAGATTTTTGGAAATTTTGGAATTTGCTATACTGCTTCGTGGGCCCGACCAGACGCCGAGAGAAGAGTCAATTGCCGAACGAAGCGGTACTTAGCCCTAACCCTTTTCTGCTGTTCTTTTTTTCTCTGGTAGCGTTATTGCGCTAGGGAGTTGTGTTGTTTTCGGCTCTTGGTTTTTACTTTTCGGGGCAGGTGATCTTAGGTAGGTGTTGCATGGTTTATGTTGCGGACTAAGGATATAGATTTGCAAACGGATATGACCATGGGTTCAATGTTGAAATAGGATACTAGGATTAATAGAGAGGGGACATATCTCTATTCATAATAAAAAAGCGAGATAAGAAACCAAATAGTATGTACATTCTTTTACAACTCTAAAAGCGGAGAGAAACTTTGGCGCCAGCCACCAACAGATACAAATACATACATACAAATCCCGAGTCAACTCAACTCAGCCCAACCCAACCTAAAGCAAGGCAGGAGAAAATCAGCACCCACATCCATCCATCTTCTCCAACCGACAAAAGCACGACGCCTGAATATTCACATCCGCCACCGCCAACGCAACCTTCAACGTCGGCTCGACCATCCTCGCCTCCGCGTCGCGTCCCAACCGCACCAAACACTCATGGTACCCGTGCAGCGCCCACACGTTATTCGGGTGCCGATGCGTACCGGCTAGTTTCTGACTGAGACCCAGATCCTCGGCGTACACTTCCGCCGCCTCGGCGACGTGGCCTTGTTCGAGGAGGAGGGCCGCGTAGGGGTGACGGGCGGGCAACATCCAGCCCCACGGCTCGGAGTAGAGGAGGGCGTCTTCGGCGCGGATGGCTTCGCGGAGGTGCGCGAATGCGACGTCGTACTTTCCGCGCCGGTACTCGAGCTCGCCGTCGAGCATTGCTGTGGCGATGCGGAGCTCGTCGTTGACTTTGTTGGGGAAGTTGATGCGCGTGTCGGGTACGCGGGAGGCGGCGGAGTGGTAGAGCGTGCGGTGGCGCTCCGCCTCGGGGATGTTGTTTGTGGCAGCGTACGCGATCGCCTTG